GGCGTACAATGAGACGCTGCTGGAGAAGTACCGGGGGCTTGTGCGACGCGGGGAGCCGTTTCGCAGCTCAACGTGCCCGTACTGCAACGGTCGTCGCAGCGCGGGGATTAAACACATTGACCCCAAGAGGAAACCCCAATCGCCGTGGGACTTTTGGGACAACATCGTCTGCGCCCCCACTGCCGCACGGAGTAATGACGGTAGCGATGCACACGACCATGTGGAGAATGAAGGGGTGGCGTTGGCTGCAGAACAAATCCATCGGGCCCCGCCGCGACGGAGGCCAATGTACGTTGTAGGGCCGATGGTGGATCAGAGCGAACTGCCATTCCGAATGCTCTGCCGCCGCTACGGAGCAACGCTGGCGTACAGTCCTATGTTGCATGCCAGGAGCTTTGCACAGAGTGCTCAGTACCGTGCACGCTACTTCTCCACAACCCCGCACCGCGCCGAACCAGCGATGACGGCAACGGTCTCAGGAGAAGGGGAAGCAGCAGAAGATGCCGGGAGAACGAGTGATGGAAAAGAAACAGACCATCCGCTTTTTGTGCAATTTTGCGGGAATGACGCCGACACGCTTCTCGCCGCGGCGCGTCACGTGGAGGACGACTGCGAGGCAGTTGATGTCAACCTTGGCTGTCCGCAAGGCATTGCCCGCCGTGGCCACTACGGCTCGTTTCTCATGGAGGACTGGGATCGTGTGCACAACATCCTGCACTGCCTCGCAGTCGAGCTGCGGGTGCCGGTGACGGCGAAAATGCGTGTGTTTGACGACGACGCCTTGACGCTGAAGTACGCGGAGATGCTGCGCGACACCGGCATTGCGGTCCTTTGCGTGCATGGCCGAACGCGGCACAACAAGAGAGGGCTTGCGGACATGGAAAAGATACGGCGTGTACGTGAGCACCTGCGCGGGTCCATTCCTGTCATTGGGAACGGTAATGTGTTGACGTTTGAGGATGTGCGGCGTAATATGTCGGTAACAATGACGGATGGTTACATGTGCGCCGAGCCGCTGCTGTGGGATCCGCGTCTTTTTGCAGCGCCGCTTCACCCTGTGCGCAACGGGCGGTGTTTTGCCGAGTGCTGTGAGGCACGACTGGACGCCATTCGGACGGCGCAGGAGTATCTGCAGCTTGTGCAACGCTACCCCGTTGATCTCGCATTTGTAAAGGCGCATCTCTTCAAGATGCTGTTTCACAGCTATGAGATGCACCCGGTGATGCATGGGTGGCTCACGAATTTCAGCTGCAACGGTCGAGGTGGAAACAACAACAACAACGCCGGCAGCGACGTCAACGGAGAAGTGGAGGATGGCGACATTGACGATGGCAGGAGCCCTGACGGCGCCAGCGAGAGCGGCAGCGGCAATGCGAACAAAGCGGAGAGTAACGTGAAGCAAGCGGCGGGTAATTTGGACTTTTTTGCATTTGCGATGGATGCGCTCGGTGAGCACCTGCGGCAGCTGTACGCGGCGGAGGTCTCGTGCGGCGTGGAGGGCCCGCAGCCGAAACGGGCACACGAGCGCGAGAAGGGCGTCAATGACGACACGTCTTCCTCGGCGAAAAGAAAGGTGGAGACGTCACACGACGCATTTGCCGAGGACGACGTGTTTGGCATTGACTTTGATTTAAACAAAAAATAAAAATAAAAATAAAAATAAAAATAAAATAAAACTTTCACCGCGAATGCGTCACGCGATGGACGTTGAATTTGCAATGCGTGGGTGGCATCTCAGAAGCCATGCAATGAGACATGCACCTTTCCTTTTCCCCTATCTCTCCGTCTCTTTCTCAATTGGAAGAAGAAGAAGGAGGAGGAGGAGGGGAGAAAAGAAACAGAGGGACATTTCCGTTTACTTGCGAAGCAAACATTTAGGGGAAACAAAGAGAGAAAATAGAAAACGAAAACAGAAAAGATAAATAAAAAGAGAAACAAAAAAAAAAAAAAAGAAGAAAATTTAAACAAAAAAAAAAGGGGGAATAGAGACATGTCAGGAAAAATGATGCGGTGGTTTTACTGCGTTCTTACTCTCTCCGTCACGCTGCTGCCGCTCTTGGCGCACGGTGAGGTGTCGTGGGGGATGTACGGTTCGAGGATGTCGTCTATTGGATTTGGCAGAATTACTGCGGTCACCGCGGGCGCCGCTGTGGAAACGAGGGGAAATTTCACGCTGCGAGAAGAACCACAGCCGTCACCATGGAAGAAGAAGAAAGGTGTGGTGATAGAAAGGATCGGGGAGGCGGAGGAGTACAGTTATCATATCCCTAACAAAAACGGTGTGATCTCCGTCACGGTGGAGGCGGGTAGCAGACATCTGCTGGAGTTTACCGGCGAGGCGGACAACATGATCAACATCGTGGCACAACTCTTGGACAGTCGTTACGATGAGAACATCCAGCCGTCCAACTGTCTTGGCCTTTACATCAATGTGGAAATACGTGTGAAGGACGAGAATGATGAGGGCGGGAAGTCGAGTGACGTGTGGAGCAGTGAATCTGGTAGCAAGTCGTCGAGACGTAAACCTGTAAGTCCATGGTCTTCATTTTGGAACGCCATTGCGACCATCCTTGACAGCAGTGCCTTCTGCGAAATCCTACCAACGGTAATGATGCGTGTTGCGCCGACCCCGGTTCCAACAGTGTATCAGTTTATTATCAGCGCCCGCCATGGGTATGCGGCGCCGGCCAGCAATTACAAATGTCAGATGCGTGTGTTCATTGAGCAGGACCCTTCTGAGGAGATGACTCGGATGCAAAATGTGTTTGCGCTTGGCTTGCCACTTGCCTTTCTTTTGTTGACAGCACCGTTTATTCTGTGGCGCATTGATCTGCTTCCTGGCTATCTCGTCGATATTGACGTTGTCAACTGGCTATGGTACATGCCGTACCTCCTGCGGGACACTTTCGTCAACGTGGCTGTGGGCTGTGGCACGACTATATGGGGACTTTACAAGGAACGACGATCCAGGGAACATCAACGTCGTTTGGAAGAACAGCACCGCCGCCTTACGGAGGAGGCACAGAGTTTGCCAAGTATGCACGAAGAACCCACACCGTTTCCATCGTTTCAACCGCAGCCGCAGCCAGGGACATTTGCGGCTGCCGATGTGGGATTTATGCCCGCCGGCAGGAACAACAGCAATAATAGTAATAATAATAGTAATAATAATAATAATATTCACGACAACAGCAATGGTAATAACCCGACCAACGATTGTAGCAGCGGGGGCAGCAGCGGTTGTTGTGAAAAGGAGCGGCGCGACTCAACTGTTGTTCATATCCTACCGCCACCACCACCCCATCCGGGAACAACATCGACATCCCCTGCAGCTGCAGCAGAAACAGTGGAAGCCTTAGCGGAAGCAAGAGGAGAGGAAGTTGATGTCATCACGAGGAAGAAACAGAATAAGGAGGAAAGGCAAAAACTTTTGAATAACCGTGAGGAGTTTGGGGTCAAGCCCCAATCAAGCGTGTCGTCATCGCCTACGCGCGTCTTAATTGCAGCGTCTCATCTGCATTACCGGCATGGCAACAAGGATAAAAACGCTTCTGCCGCATCGGGCCCACGTGAGCTGTTGGAGACGTCAGCGCCATGTGTAGTACATGTGCATACTTCTGCCGTTGAAATGCAGGAAGGAGGGATTGACGAGCTGGCAGAAGGCGGCAATACTAGATACCGAAAGAATCCTTCTAGTGAAAGTCGTGCCTTTTTGTACAAGGAGGAAGAGCAGGAGGAAGAGGAGAACGTCTGTCGCATTTGCCGTGACGGAGAGGAGGAAGAGAAGCTTGTGTCTGCGTGCGAGTGTACAGGCTCCGTTCGGTGGGTCCACCGCACATGTCTGGACCGCTGGCGTATGGAAAGTGCAAAACGTAACATGCGTAATGTAAATCGATGCGAAATCTGTAAGAAGCCCTTTAACATATCCATCCGGCGGCGCACACTTCTGTGGCAGAGTTCACGTCACCTTGTTCTTGGAGTCACACTTGCGCTCTCTTCCGTAGTCTTCTTCTTTGCTCTCACGGTGTTCCTTCGCAAGACGCTGGGGACGATCTCCTGCAGAGCCCCATGGCGCAGCGTTTCCTACACGACGATGTTTAACCTGGATGGCATCATGCTTACCTTGTTTGGTTACTTTATGCTTGTCCTTTTGGCAACCTTTGCCTTTGCTCTTGTGTACAGCCGTTGGCACACACGCGAGGAAATTGAGGCGCATGTACAAGAATTTCAAGCCCTTCCAGAGTTTTGGACGTTTCGAAATACGACGAAGGTTGTGGCGGTATATGTAATAGGTATTGGGCAGGCCCTTTGCCTTGGTTACCTAATGAAATTGTGGATATATCGTACCAGCAATGTGGTATGGAACTGGGAAGCTTCCCCTTCTATTGGTGCGGTATTGTACATGACATTCCTTACTCTCGGCATGAGTACCGTTCGTGCTGGACGTGAATTTTTTTATAACCAAACTTTATCTAATGCATCAGATATTGTAGTAGTGGATCAAAGACAAGAACAAGAACAACAAAATGAAGAAGAAAGAGCAGAAGGCAATGTAGGCTCTCAAGACCAAACGCCACCCACCATTGAAGGGTCATACGAAACTTCACAAGTGGTTGCTGTACCACCACATCTACGCCCAATCCGTGCGATGGAATACTGTCCGAGACGTCCTGTTGGTCGAACATAGGAAACATTTATTCAATGACAGAGAATACCCGTATACATTTGTTTGTTTGTTTGTTTGTTTGTTTTTTTCTTCTCTCTCTTTCTTTACTCATAATATGCAATAAGGAACATTATATATAATTGAAAGCAAAAGGCAAATCACTTAATATATATATATATATATATATATATATATATGTGCATGTGTGTCTATTAGTGTTGTTTTATTATCTTTATTTGTGGGAGACTCGGACGGTTTTTTTTCTTTTTTCTTCTTTCTTTTTCCTTTTTTTTTTTTTTTTTTTAATAGTAGTGGATTTTGTTGCTGGCTGCTTTCTTGTGTTCTTTACATGTATGTATGAGAGGTGGACGTATTTCTAAAGGTGGGTGGCTGGGGGCTGCTGCTGCTGCTGCTGATGGTGATGTTGTTGGTGTTGGTGACTCATTTAAATGCCGCTGCTGCCTCCATTGTACTCCCCCCCCTTTTTTTTTGTTTGTTTTTGTTTTTTTCTTTTTTTTTTTTTTTGTTTGTTTACTCTCTCACTCTCTCCTTCCCTCCTTCTACTTCCTGCTGCTTCATTCCTTCAATGTACGTGTGGGGTGTTGGGGGGGGGGGGGGAAAAAAA